TGTAGCGCCATTTGCCGTCACTTCCGCTTCGCGCCCAAGGCGGAAGCAGAGTCTCGTGCCGAGAGCTATCTTCTCCGCGCAGGCCGCGGTGCTCCCCGCCGTGCGCGGGATCTTGTCCTCGGGTGCCGCGCGCGGCGCCACAGCTGAGGCGAGGCGAAAAAGAAGCGTTCGCTTCGCCGTCTGAGTTGCGAGCGTGAGTCAGCAGAGAACAGTAGCGAGAGTTAGTAGCGAGAGAGTTGAGCAAGAAGCGGTAGAGAGTAGAANAGTTTCACTTAAGAAATGTATGAAGATCACAATCATTCGAGTTGCATTGATTTTCCACTTTAACGCACTTATAGTGAATTCTTTCACTGCACATTTCTCTCTCTCTCTCCCTCTCCATCTTGGAATGAATATTTTCGTTTCCACTTGAACTTAATCGAATCTAATGACGTATGTTATAAGTAGCAAGATAAGCATGCCTTACTGTAACCGTTTTATGGTTGTTACCTTTTTATTTTCGGTTCATAATTTCAGTGCACAGTTTATCACATTTCATATGTGGAATGTGTATTTAAATAAAAATACACAACAATTTATACCATGTCTCTTTTAAATATTTTTAATAACGTTTAAAACATTAATATTAACTAAATGTGTTTCTGAATGTAAGGATATCGCGAATAGAATTACCTGGATTTCCGGTAGACATGCCAATATACGAAGCACGAAACTCGAAGTAGTTGCTAAGGTGTCGTGACCCTATAACATTTTCGCACGTTATATTCTAGTTTTCGAGTTAAGACGTGTGCGTAATATGTTCTTGCGTAACATGTTCTTGCAAAACACGGAATATGATTTCAGTGGATTATCAAAGGATCTTAGTAATTAATTACTGCAAGAATGATATTATACCGTGAACAAGACCGAGTTGACAAAATCCAAAATCTCCTTGTCGGTTATTTGTCCGTCCTTCTTCATGTCTATCAATATCTCCAAAAGAGGGAATCGATTTTTCTTACTCACATCAACATTCTCGATATTGTCCAGATCGTCTCTCGCTNGACGTGTGCAAAACACGGAATATGATTTCAGTGGATTAACAAAGGATCTTAGTAATTAATTACTGCAAGAATGATATTATACCGCGAACAAGACCGAGTTGACAAAATCCAAAATCTCCTTGTCGGTCATTTGTCCGTCCTTCTTCATGTCCATCAATATCTCCAAAAGAGGGAATCGCTTTTTCTTACTCACATCAACATTCTCGATATCGTCCAGATCGTCTCTCGCATAATACATCTTGTAATTGATCGTGTTGATGCCGTTTTCTGCGTCCTCGGTTAAATTTTCAGCTTCGATTTGATGTCTATTTTTAAACTGCTTCTCTTCGATGTCCTTCCATTTCTCTTGGATCACTATCCTCGCTGCTGAGTGGTCGGTATAGTACAATTTTTGGTGCAGTTTTTGAGATTTGANCATCAACATTCTCGATATCGTCCAGATCGTCTCTCGCATAATACATCTTGCAATTGATCGTGTTGATGCCGTTTTCTGCGTCCTCGGTTAAATTTTCAGCTTCGATTTGATGTCTATTTTTAAACTGCTTCTCTTCGATGTCCTTCCATTTCTCTTGGATCACTATCCTCGCTGCTGAGTGGTCGGTATAGTACAATTTTTGGTGCAGTTTTTGAAATCTGAACAACACCTTCGATCGTAATGATATGTCGATCTGTCGTTTATGCACAATCTCGCTCAGTCTGTGACGTTAAAAAACGGGACAATGAAACATTATATGTGGAGCTTCAAAGTAACAACGTGTAGTAAGTACGAAGTACAAAATAAAAACTCTTACTTCATCACGGCCCTTGTATAATTAAAACTGATGTCTTCTTTCTTCTTATCCCCATTTCCGCTTCCACCAACGTATTAAAAGTTGAGTTACTAAATAAAGAGTTCAACGATTTAAAAAGAGGCGAAAACATTTAGTGCAATATTTCCCATTTCACGTTTGATTCATAAACGAGCGTTGTAATTAAATACATTAAAACTACTGTCTATTTCCTTCTAGATCCACCACGTTTATCTGTCATTGGTCATAGCCTGATGATGTCAAAAAAAAATTCCGCAGATGTATTTATCCTTGTTGTGGATCTTTGCGCTGAATACGGCTCAGTGTTATCATTAGTTTTTGGAACACAAGCTTATATATTTTTGACAGATCCGCAAGATGTAGAGGTTATCTTAAGTAACCCTGAACACATCGACAAACCCGCAGAATACAGGTAAATAAATCAAAATAAATCAATTTTTAGGCGGATTATAGTCAAGTTAATCCCGCTAACGTTAAGATGTAATTGAGATAATGTTCGAATAATGATCGAGAAGTGAGTTTTTATTGTTATTTTCTCGTGATTTTGTTGTCGCCTAGACATCATTACAATTTTATATTCGGTCTGAGTTAGATCCTTAATCAGAGTGAACCTACTTATTGGGTGAGTGCAAAAGTGCATGCGGAGTTTGTGAGTAAAAGTCAGACAGTGATTAGGCAAACAAAGTTTTTTATTCAATCAATGATATATTCTCCATCGTTGTCTATAATCTCTTTCCAACGTTCTGGCAGCATACGGATGCCCCGATCATAAAAACTGCGCGGTTTAGATTCGAAGAACGAAGACACGACGTTTTTTAAGGCATCCAAAGAGTC